TCCAAAAATCCCCACTCTTCCCCTTCCGAATTCTCGTTTCCCTCGCATTCTCCATTCCTCCTCCTACATCTCTCTCCCACCTCGCACACTCCAGATTGAGGTCCTGATTCCTCAGTTCCCCGCTGTCCCCACACACCTCACCGCCAACCATGGCGAACGCCGCCGACGACCTGGACCTCCTGCTCTCACTGGGCGAGGCCGTCCCGGAGACCCCTCCCGCCTCCCCCCGCGCCGCCGATGGCCCCGTGTGCGACGGCGCCTTCACACCACCAAGGACGGCGCGCCCTGGCGGCACCGACATGTCCGTTTTCCGCGACGCCGTCAAGGATTACCTCGAGGCGCCCCCCGAAACCACATCCCCGCTTGCCAATCGCCCCAAGCGGCCCAAGGCCACCGAAACCCTCGTCGACAAATACTCCGGCCTCCGCATCAAGCACCTCACGCTCTCGCCAATTGAGATTAGCAATCGCTTCGCCGACATCCGATTTGTGCGCATCACCGCGCTAAAGTGAGGATCCTTTTCCAATTCACCCCGCTGCTGGGTCATTCATGGTGTTTGCTCATCGATTCGTCGGGGTGGCTTTTCTTCCCTTTTCTGTTCCGCGTGCAGGAACTCTGTGGGGAGCGACAGGTTCTCCGGCTGTTGGGCAACCGCGGGCGTGGTGCTGGACAAGGGTGTGCCGCGGGTGAGTGCGAAGGGGAGCAGCTACAGCATCTGGAAGATGGGCGCTCTGGACGAGACCGACGTATCTCTCTTCCTGTTTGGGGACGCGTACGTTCACTACTCCGGCGCTGCTGTGGGTTCAGTGTTTGCTGTGTTCAATGGCAATGTCCGCATGGACAATGGGGTACTTCTCGATTGACATTTTGATTTGCTTAACCGATTTGTGCTCAGTGACTCCGTTGCTGATTTGAGTGCATGTTGGTGATGCTGTTGTGCAGGGCAAAGGGTTCTCTCTGAGTGTTGCTTCAGTGGGGCAGATGTTGAAGATGGGGGTTGCAGCAGACTTTGGTGTCTGCAAAGGCAAGAGGAAAGATGGGGTGGCTTGCGCTATGGCTATAAATAAGTATGTACCTCGACCCTATGTCTTGATATTTCAGTAGTAGCCTCATTGTCATTAATTCAGTAACATAGATAACTTTCGCGACAACAATGTACATAGAAGCGATGAGAAGCTTTTGTGATCAATGATCACCACATCACTTCACAGATATCGGCACAAAGTGTGATGTGCTAATGCAGCACAGTTTTCTTATGTGGCTATGAGCTTGCCTTCCTGCTGCCAGACTTGTACCCTCATCTATATGGGGTCTATCTGTCCATGTCTTTGCCGTTTTAGACTGCCCATAAAGCATCTCCTGCGTACCATGTCTCAATCATAAGAATTTATTAAAACGCTGTTCTGTGACTGAGTTCTCTTTCTCTCTTTTCAGGAGTAAAGTATCATACTGCAAATTTCATTCGTCGGTAAGGATATAACCATCAACATTCAGCAACTCGTATTACGAGATGGATATGCATGCAACATTATTTCATCATGCTTTCAGCAACTTGTATTAAGAGATGGATATGCATGCAACATGATTTCATCATGCTTCTTTTCTTTACGCAGAAAACATCACAAAAGTACACTACTGGCAGAGTAGAGCTTAAGGGCGGGTAAGTAAAACCTTAAAAGGAGTAGGCTAGGACTTTCCTTAATGATCCCACACCTTACGTTCTTTTGTTGGTTGATTGATATAATTGTTACAAGTATCTTCTTGTGCCATGCCATTCTTGCTTATATATGATTTTTCCCCATGGAATCTTTCCAGAAATTTCAAATTTGCTTCCAAACTTCGATCTGAAGGGATTTACATGGTCAATCCTTCCTCAGAACGACCCAATCCAAGAAATTCATTCCAACCGGTGAAAGTAATGTCAATCGATGGGCTAAAAAGGGCTTTAAGGTATGTAAAGCACTATTTTATCTTTAATTGATGTGTTGGGCTACTATACTGGTTGTTAAGTTGGTCACCCTTCCCCCTTTCTCTTTGATAAAAAAGAGCACTTCAATGTTGATCAGACAATATTGCGAATGTACAAATTATGATGCCATATCTAACGCACATAATATTTGACTAGTCTGTATTCACTGTTTTTTTTTTCAATTCTGGTTGGTGTATGACCACAAAAAATGATTACCATTGTGTTTTCTTAAAGAACCATTTGTTCGTGGTCATTGCACCTGGGTTGTGGTATATGAAGGTTTTCATTAAAGAGGAAACATAAACATAAGCCAATTTTGTTGTTATGGAGATTATCTAATGTCATATAGTGCTATTATCTACTGAACTGCACCAGAAATGTTTTGCCTAATATCTAACAGGAATTTTTATTGCATGTAGATCTGCTTCTAATTAAATTATGCTGTATGGCAGTAGCCTTTGGAATAGTTTGAAATGATTGTGTTATGTTCAAACTCTGATTTTGTTGTGCAGCAATGCAGATAGAGTAACTAATAAGAACCAATCTCAGGGTATAAGATTTCTTTCCCATGTTACAGGTAACCTATTTTCCCCTTTATAATAAGTATAATCATCATTCTAAACAAAGTAGCACCAAATTCGTAAAACAGCATAACTGACTATTGGTCGATAAACTCCTGGTTACATGATTCAGCTAATACGGACAATATGGAACCGAAAGCCCCAACCAACGGCTCTAGGAACCAACAAAAATCGAAGGTTAGCCTAAACAACAGGTCAGTCACAATATGCTGTGGTATGCTTATAATGGTCTTATGTTTTGATGATCAACGACATCAAAATGAGCAAGCTTCTGGTTTGTAGTTTGTCATCATCTGGCGCCAAAGCCCTGCCCAAGCAGGGATTGAGGAAACCACAACAGGATGTTAAAAGGCGAAAGGTGAACAATCCTACAGAGAATATCGTTGAGCTTGATGCGGTCAGCTCAGACGATGATGAGATAAATATAGTACTGCGACGCTGATGCTTCATCAATAATAGTGACTTGTAATTGTACTCCAAATTGGCTATACAATTGTACACTCTTGTTTTCATGGATCTTAAGCCATCGGAGGCAGAAAAGTTATATCAGATATATTCGTTGACTTTTGTTGGATCATGTTGATCCAAAAAGTGTTTTAGTTTCTCTTGATGTGCAGTTTAACAATTAGATTAGAGCACCACCATTCATAACTCATGAAATAGCTTTAACGCAAATCTTTTTCTGCGTTCTATTGGAATTTAATTGAGTGTTTGACACAGCATTTTATAATTTATAACGGAGGGAGTACATAATTTAGAACAAAAAGAGTATCTTAGTACTGTTGAGTGCCCTGGCACGCAAGTCTTTTTCTGCGTCTATCTTGGACCGGAACCATTGTTCTTCGGATCGTGCAGTTTAGCACCACGATCAGTACCAACTTTCTGTCACATGGGCACATGGCACAGCAGCAATCTTGCGATACAATGCGATAGACTCTTAGAAGAGAGAATTAGCACTGGAGTTTATATATAACCTATACAATGCAAACTCTTGTATGATATACGCTTAGCAACGGAAGAGGCCCATGCGTCAGCTTGCACAGCCGCTCGGCCGAAGCACCGCTGCTGGTTAAGCAGCGAATCTGCTACCAAGTGCCCTCATTCCCTTCCACCGTGGAAAAATGGATCATTAACTACCCATAAGCGCCCTGCGCTGTACATGGCCAAGCCAACTAGCCATGTAGGCAACCAGACCACCATAATTCCAGCGTAAACACATTATCACACGTCGCACGGAACTGAGAAATAAAACAATATGCAATAGCATATCACGCATCAGACGGAACTGAAATATAAAACCCACGATGCGAAGCAACCAGTGAAACGAATTAGATATGCAGAACTAGCAATGCTTGATAACCAACCAGCCTCTTAGGAGTCTTAGCAACCAAGAGCATCCAATGATCCAATGCACCAAAATACTGGAACAGCAAAATAGTCTGCTCACGACCGACCGACCAAACCTACATACACCTTCTAAGCGATTTGTTAAACCCGAGACAGTCTATAGCTGCTCCAAACTCATAACATCCTGAACAAGGACTTCCTCTCTGGCCTGGTTATTCAATATTGCTGTTGTTAGAGCCTCCAGCCTCATTCAAAGGCCCACTGGTTCGCCCTCCTCATTTCTTCCTCTTCCTCAGGTGCGAAGTCATTCTTGATGTTGAAGGTCTTGCGGATCTCCTCTGGAGTCTTCCCCTTGACCATGTCCGCCGACGGTCTGGCAGGTCAGGTCCAGGGGAAGGGCGGGCCTGGTGCAAGTGGTAGAGTCTTACCGCCTGTGACCGGAAGGTCCCAGGTTCGAGTCGCGGTCTCCTCGCATTGCACAGGCGAGGGTAAGGCCTGCCACTGACACCTTTTTCCAGACCCCGCACAGAGCTCTGCACTGGGTATGCCCTTTTTTAATTCTTTGGGATGTAGACTGGGATCATCTTTTACAATGATTTCAAGCAATTAAATATCCGAAGCAATATAATCACTGTTTATGCCAGTCCTACAACAAATAAATTGTCATTTCCTGCTACTGCATTCGTGAAACAAGTATTGCGGACCCATTAAACATAGGCTAAACTATCTTAAGCATCAACGAGCAATTCCAAATATATTGTTGCATTGATAAAAATGTGGTGGATTCAATACCTCTCTCAAATTAGTATAAGCTAATAAAACAGCACGGTAACCAATTACTACATGGAGAAAATTCAATTACACAAAAGTAGTTTACGCCCAGCAACTAAATTAGCAGTTGACTGGAACCAACAGCAACACAAACACAGAATATCTTTATATTTCCAAGCAGTCAATCTCCGAACAACATATTTCTAATCTAGCTGCAACCTTTAACAGTTCGCACAGGCAGATCGAAGCAGCATCCTTTAACAGTTCGCACAAACAGATCCAAACAACTATCGGGTGGAGAGAATAGGTGGGAGGGCCTCACCAGAATCAGGTCAAAGAGGGTGGGCCTGGTCAACCTTGACGAACTCAGCATAAAATGTTTTGAGCTCATCCTCTGATGCCTTGTTGGTCGCAGCTGTTGGCTCCGCATCACCACCATCGGCTCCGCCGCGCGCCGCGGCGTGCTTCCTGCAGTACACGATGACCTTGGCGAGGATCCTGGCGTTGACGTTGGGCAGCGGGATGTCGTTGTCGGCGCAGCTGTCCTCGATCATGTTCCCGATGGTCCGCGACTCCCTCGCCGCCGACTCCTCCACCTCGAACTTCTCGAGGTCGCTGCTGATCAGCGTCATGATCTTCTCCTTCCCCGCCGCCGCCGCTTCCGCACTCATCGATCCGACCGCCGGGTGTGGGGACTGTGGTGGTGGTGTGTCTAGAGAAAAAAAAAAAAAAACCCCGCTAGAAAGGAAGGCAACGTATCAGCTGTAAAATCTACTGATCAGCACTGGATGCTGATTGAACGAATAGGACGAGAGGTGAGATTTTTTTACGCTTAAGTCTCCTGTCCGCTGTCTTTTTTTTTAAAGTCTCCTCACCCATTCACTGAATCCATGCTGATCGAATGAATAGGATGAAAGGTGAGATTTTTTTACGTTGAAGCCTCTCATCCGCTGTCCTTTTTTTTTTCGTTTAAGTCCCCTCACTCATTCACTGGATCAGCGTCCCGTGATCCTAATCCGTGGTTTTTAAGTTTGCAACCGCATGATATGTTGCCACAAAGGAAACCCTAACGGCGGAAGCGAAGCGATCGTGATGGAATGGACGGGTGTGCGTGCGTCTTTATTACTGCCGCCGCTGCGGAGGGGGAAGGCTCTAGAAGACTACTTCCTGGGCTGGGCCTGGGCTGTTCTGTTTCTGCTTCTGACGGGTTCTTTTGATGGTGGTGGGCCTTTTTGGGTCGTATAAGTTGCCCCCAACTGAGTTTCTTCCAAAACTCAGTACGTCTTAAAATAGAATTATTTATTAGTATATTGTATCGGGAGTTGTTCTAAGCATAAGTTTGCGTTTCATCCGGGTTCCGTACCCTTTGCAGCTACTTTTACTTTTATTTGTTTTTCCAAGTATAGGTTCCGTCCGAGGTAGCTTCCGTCCAGTTTCATGTGCCTCCGGCATCTCCAGGATTTTACTCCCTCGGCCCTGAATATAAGAAATTCAAGCGAATTTCAGTCAAAATAAAGAGCCGGACAAAAGACCATCTTCATCCTCACTAATTAGATAAGAGAATAACTAAGTTTTTACTTTGCTTAGTTATCGGCTGGTTTTTTTAGATGACATCCAGTTTAGAAGAAATCTCAGTATTTCCTATTAAAAAGACAAAAGAGAGGAGAACTACACGTAGCGCGGGTGGTAGGGCCCGGTGGCTGGCTTCCTACCGACCAGTGTTCGAGTCCTACTCGGCACTGATTTTTCATCGTGGTTTTCCCCCCCCTTTCTAGTTGCAGGAACCTCAGGCGCCTATGGACCATATAAGGGGAGGCAACGCACCCGTCGCTAGTGAAGTTGAGCCTTCATAAATATCTTGTAGGCATATGTATATGGTAGTTTAAAGTTCTAGGTCTAGCGTACATCCTAGTGACTTAGTGGTGAGTGTTGGTGTGTGTCACGTATGTGTACGTGTGTTTGGTTGTACGGTCCGACGATATCATAACTTATATTACCATATCTAAGGAATAAAAAAAACCCAGTGTCAAATAGGACTCGAACCGGACGGACCAACGGTTAGGAAGTTATAATATCCAGAACCATAATCTAATGATATTAAGTGCGTATCATAATATTAATTAATATTTTCTTATATATTTGGTTCAAGTTGTAAATTTTTGAGCATTACCCTCGGTCCACTGAAAAAAGCATGTGAGCTAATTTATATCAAACCGACTTTAAGAGAGTAACTACAACTCAAATGAAAAAAACAATAATCTTGGAACACAAATTAAAAATTCTTTGAAACTGGTGATGAAACCGATATGTGTTTGCAACACACACAGAAGGTATCAAGGGCATGGTGCCGTTCTAGCGTTGCTTCGCCGGGTTCCGGACGAGAAGGAATCGACCCTGAGTTGGTGCCGGAACGCCGATATGAACTCCTCAGCCCGCTTGTTCACCTCATCCGCGTTGCCGGCCGCATCCTCATCTGCCGCCACATCCTCCTTCATCACCGCCGCCGTCTCTATCGGCTCGTCCGTGACGACCAGCGCCATGCAGCAGCCATCCGCAACGGCGGCCTCGGCCGCCGTTCGCTTCTTGCTCCTCCTCGTCCTCTTCGCCCTCCTCGCGGCGTCTCCCCGCGCCGCCGGCGCCTCCCGTTCGTCGTTGGCGCCCGCAGACGCTGCCGCTCTCCGCCGCGGCTGCTCGGACGCCACGACGATGGACGCGATGATGATGTTGAGGAGCAGGAACAGCGCGGGCGACGGCACCGAGAGCGACGCGGGCCACCACCACGGCGCCACGGGCACGGCCGGCGCCACCAGCCTCTTAACGCCCGACACGAGCAGCGCTGCGGCCGCCGCGGCCAGCGCGGCCTCCACGAGCTCCTCCTCCCTCGGCCTCGCCTTCTTCCCCTCAGCCGCCATCCGACTCCCCCTCAGCTCAGGGCTCAGCTCGCTCTCCTTTCTAGCGCTTGGTTTCGTCGCCTCCGATCCGCCAGCTCCCTCCTGCTCGGCAGCTCGGCTTTGCGGTGGAGCTAGGCAGGTAGAAGCTATGTATAGTATAACTGCTTTTCTACTGTGCTTGCAACAAAGTTGTTCGGGCGCGAAAAGGTCTCAGCTAGGCAAATCGATCGATGGGCGCGGGGGTGTCGTCGCGCACGCGCCTGCGTGTGCCGTGCCGACTGCCACGCAGGCATGCAGCCCGTGGTGATGGCTGTCGGGGAATTTGCTCCGACAATGGCAGAATATTTTTCGTTCCTGCAGAGGCAGAGCCACTACTGCTCGGCGTCTCGAGCTGACGACGACCACGGCAATGGCCGGCACCCCCAACAGCAAGCAGTCTGCAGGGCCACTCATGGTATGGTCTCTGTCTCTTTGATGACAGTGAATTTGGATGAACATAAGGACACTACTCGCATATGTTTAACCTGCTCGAAAGCAGGCTTAATTGATTGATTCCTTTCTTTTAACATGTTTGATTGAATTAACTAGGGGCGTTTGACTTTGTATGGCTGTATTGTTTTTTGTTTACTAGTACTCAATTCATTACAAACTATAAGGCGCTTTGACTTTTCTAAATACAATGTTTTTACTATATGGTCCCGTTCGCGTGCCCTTAAGTCTGGTTTGATCCGCTTCTTTTTTTTATCCGGAACAGTGTTTTTCTCTCACAAATTCCTCCAGCATTCCTCAAAACCATCAAAATTCCTTCAGAATTCCTCCAAGCGAACATACCCTATGTATCTAGAAAAGTCGAAACGTGTTATAATTTGAAATAGAGGGCTTGTAATTTGGAACGGAGGGAGAACCTGCGAGTGAGTAAAGCTAGCTAGGGGAGCAGCTCAGCAGCACGCTTGAGGCTCGTGCGTTTTCGTTTGTCCCTGCACGTGCTTGGCGGACTGCAACCAGAATGATGACCTTTCCCTCGGTTTGGAGACTCGCAATGAGCAATATAATCATGCCATCAAAAAGCACAGCATGAGCCTACTGAATAACTCGCGTTTATGCCTTTTATATGGATAACCTCACTTACCTCATGTACTTCAAACTGATGTTAGTATTCGAATTCTACCAAAACCTTAGGTTTACGAGTTGAGCCTAGCTGGTGCCATCAACTCAATGAAGTAGCTTTCAACTCCATAGCTCCACTTATCAAGAACAACCATATATAAGCAAATGCTAGAAGCAATATATATAGTCACGATTCAGCCTCCTTCAATTTAGTTCATAGGGAAAGTATAGGATTTAGAATCTTATAGAAATTGCTACTATAGTAGTAGTCATTTGGTTCACCGGAAGTATAGCAAATTTTCCTTTGTATGCTATTTTGGAGAAAAGTGTAGGAAACTTAGAGTCTGTTTGGTTTGAGAGACCAAGAGAGATGGGATACGGGGTAGAGAGAGGGTTTGTGTCATCTCTTTGTGGGCATATTCCTCAATTATTTGGGTTGAAGCTATCCTCCCGAAATGAGGGGAAGGGCTCGCCATCTCACACGGCATCACACCTCCATTTGGCTAGCCGTGCCGTGTTATTGTCTTCCTCTCTCACCCATTCCCCGATGTCCGTCTCTATTGTCACCTAACCTGACGCTACTTCCGCCCTAACCACTTCCCAGGTGTGCCCCCTTCTCGGTCGGCACCTCTTTCCTGATGTTCACATGGACGCGCGTAAGCTCCAATGGTGGCCTCGCTCAAGTTCGCCTCTGAAAGGATCAAGATGCCCAGAGAGGGGGTGAATTGGGCTAATTCTAAATTTCTTTGCAATAATTAAGTCCTACGGTTAGCCCAATTAACCCCTTGTGCCTAGAAAGTGTTTCTATTGATCTACCGCACAAAAGTTTATCAACCTATGTTCCAATCCTACTCTAGCATGACAATTCTATGAATGTAAATGACAAGAATTGAATTGCTCAAAGTAAAGATAGAAGGAGGAACGCGGCGATGTTTTGCCGAGATATCGGAGAGTCGCCACTCCCCACTAGTCCTCGTTGGAGCACCCGCGCAAGGGTGTAGCTCCCTCTTAATCCGCGCAAGGATCAAGTGCTCTCTACGGTTGATTCTTCGACACTCCGTCACGGTGAATCACCCACAACCGCTCACAACTTGAGTTGGGTCATCCACAAGCTCCGCCGGATGATCACCAAACTCCCAATCACCACCAAGCCATCTAGGTGATAGCGATCACCAAGAGTAATAAGCACGAACTCTCACTTGACCACAACAGGCCTAATGAGAAGGGTGGATGCACACTTTGCTACTCTTGCTTTCACTAATGAGGTCTCACTTTTGGATTCTCAAATCTTAATCACCTCACTAGGACCTTGCTCTTCTTGGCACTCTCAAGGGTGTTTCTCAGCTGTTGGAATGAGCAAAAGTATCCTCTCACACGAATGGAGGAAGTATTTATACACCCGTGTTCAAAACGAACCGTTATGTGCCTCTGCGGGGTGACCGGACGCTCCGGTCAAGTTGACCGGACGCTCCGGTCAGTTCTCCCCGAAACCCAGTGTTTAAGTTGTGACCGAACGCTGGACAGCGTCCGATCAGCACTGACCGAATGCGTCCGGTCATGATTTTCCCTCTCTAGAACCTTACTGGAGTCGACCGGACGCTGGCACCCAGCGTCCGGTCACTCACCTCTCAGCGTCTGGTCGCACCAGACAATTTCACCTTGATCAAATGAAC